CTTTTGTCATGGTTTTGTAATTTTCATGTTAGTGATCCCTCACATTCTTCAATTTACCTCAAGATATTTAAATATATATATAATATATATTTAATAGGTATTAAATATATATTTATAGTTATACTATATTCATATTTATATTAATATATATCAAATATATATTTAATATATTAAATATATATATATCGCAGCTGGTGTGAATGAGACTGATCCCCCACATTCTTTCTCAGCATGCAATTGTTGGTACATACAAATTGCTATTTTTTTATGTTGACTTTTTTATCCTGAACCTTTACCAAAATTTCTTATGAGTTCTCTCCTATGAGTCTCTTAGAGTTGTGGTTCCATTATGTACTGAATTATCTCACCTGCAAACAGGAATAGCTTGATTCCTGCTTTCCTGTTTGTATCCTTTTGATTTATTTTCTTGCCTGTGGCTCTGTTCATAAATTCCAGGTCTATATTGAATTACAAAGGTGAGAGTGGTTATACTTATCTGGTCCTGTATCTTAGTGGAAATGTTTGCAACTCTTCCCCAAATTCTCTTGCTTTTTTTTTTTTTTTATTTGAAGAATGTTTTATATGCTCCCAATTTGCTTATGAATTTTTCTTGAAAGGATGGTATGTTTTACCAAATGATTTCTTTTCACAATTGTGATAATTATTTATTTTTCCTCAAGTCATTACTATCAGTGTAAGAAACATTGACTTATGTATGCTGAAGCATACATGCATTCCAGTGATAAATCCCATTAGGTACAAATGAATGACATAATTTAAATGTATTTCTGATTTATTTTATCTAGTATTTTATTGATGACTTTTACATCTATGTTCATCAATACTATTGTTCTATAGTTTGTTTTTGTATCATATCTTGGCTGGGGGATGAAGCTGGCCTCACAGAATGAGATTGGGAATTATTCATCAAATTTTTTTTGATAATATTAGATTTGGAGTTAGTTCCTCTTGAAAAGATTGATAGATTCAGCAGTGGAATCTGGCATTGTCATTTTCTCTATCAGGAGATTTTTTTTTTTTTGTCCTGACATACTCACTCTTTAAAAATTTATATTTAGTTTTTTTTTTAATTATTATCGTCATTCTATGCTACATTTCTATAGGCCTGGGATCTCCTTATCCCTTTCCCAAGTCCCCTCTCTCCCCACCAAATTCCCCTATACTATTACTATCACATAGTCCTTCATAAACAGTCACATGTTCATCATTGCAGGCATGGACAATGACAGAGTCCAGCATCCTATTGCCAAGATAACAGTTTCATTAATAGTCCATGTTTAATGTGGAAGTAGAGATGCACACTGCACTGCATACTCACATCTGGACATGAGATTCTCTATTACACAGTCACCATACATCCCATAAATGAAAACACACAATAACATGAAGAAAAGAACACGAAGAAAAGTAGAAATTTACAATGCCTAAAGTGGCTGACAAAGTGGAGGTTCCACTCTGCCTGCCCGGGCTGCCACTATCAGGAGATTCTTTATTAATGATTCCATCCCTATCCTAGCTATTATTCCATTTATATCTTCTATGTTACCAAGCCTCAATTTTAGTAAATTGTGTGTGTGTCAATAGATGTATCCAATTCTTTTACATTTTCAATCTATTTTTATAGTAATTTCTGATGATTATTCATATACCTATTCTATCTGCTATGTTACTTAAAAATGTAACATAACTCAGAACCAGAATAAAAGATGCAATTTGACAATGGATATCAGATGAAAAGATTCCAAAACATACCACAGGGCTGCTATAATTCAAACAGCCTGGCACTGAGACTAGCCATAAAATCCGGTGGAACAGAATGAACAAAAGACTATCAAGAGGCAACAATCAAATGGAAGAAATATTTGTAAATTATGTAACTTACACAAAATTATTATGCAGGATTTCAGCTAGGATGGAGTCAGTCCAAAAAGAGGAGCAAGAAGCCTCTTCCGAGACTCCCATGTGGGTGCAGGTTCCCAAAGATTTGGTACCCTTTACTACCCATCACTGCTTTCCCATTAACAAGTAGGGAGCTGGATGGGAACTGGAGCAGCCAGGACAGGAATTGATGCCTTATTGAGACAGTGGTGTGTTCAAGGTAAAGGTTTAGTGACTGATCCATTGCACCATGTCTTTTTTTCTGTTTACAAACCAAACATTATATAAATCTATGCATTTGAGATTACCTGCAGATTGGAACAACAGTTGTTAGCCAACATATTCATGATTCTTTTTTGTTATTTAATTAGTAGGCAATCTATACTAAGTGAATGACTCTATAATAACAAAGTCCTATTATGCCATTTCTCCATGGTATTTATGGCTCCCAAACCTAGATGCCATTAATCCAAACATCTATCCAGACCGATGGTGGGGCTTTTACCTGAGGTAAGCATGCTTCTACCTTGATACTTTTCCCATAAATAATTGTGAGATGTTTGTGTTTGTCAATAAGGTGAGATCACTTACTAGAATGACTGCAAATCAGGGTTAGTGAAGCCTGTACAAAACTAGTGCTAAAGATAAGAAATCTTCATATCAGTGGATTAATGAGTAAAGAAAACGTAATATACATACACTGTGGAATATTATTCAGCCATTAAAAATGAAATTCTGCCCTTCACAACAAATGGATGCAACTAGAAACCACTATACTTGATGAAATACACCAGTATTCAAGATCAAATAGCAAGCATGTTTTCTCTGATCTGTGCTGACTAATACACATTATATAAAACCACAATGTACAGGAGCAAGATTGACACATAAAGAATTATAGTTTGTAGCCTTGTCTATGTTCTTGAGAAAAAATAGGGTTTTCTTGCTTTCCTATACTCTCACTGAATTATTTACTTCATGTAGTGTTAATCTTGGGATTGAGAGTGAACTGAAACTATACCAAGGTAAACACTTAGGGAAAAGAAAAAGAAAATTAAAAATGGTGGATTAGAGTTCATAACATGGGTAGGAGGTAGAAAGGAAGTATCATTATGCCCTGAAACCTGTGTTGCAAAATTTGAAATTTGTGTTTATGATTTTACAGTTGACATAACATAATAATTATGGCTAATATCACAATTGATTCCCTAGTGGTAGATTTGTGAAGTCATTGTACTTTTATAATTGCACATTTCATTATGATAAAGCAATTATTTATGACTTCACAAAGTGTTTTATTGTATCACACATGATTATGTCAGCACTGTTGTAGGTTTATAATGTTACAAAGTTTTTGCAACATCTATTGACCATGACATCACAATTCTATTAGAATGAATAGTTAAACCATTGATGCTAACATCACAATGGTATAATTATGGTGTAAGCACAGCAGCTTATCACCTACCAACTGATTAAAGACAAACAATAATTATTTTTGAAAATGCAGTGATGGTTTAAAACAGTAAGAGCTAGAATGAAACTATTGTTGGTTTATGATATCACAATGATATTATATGATTTCAGAATTCACCATTGTGTCATGGTTGTTTTATGAAAACAAAATTGATTGTTGTTGCACAGTGGCTGTTTTCTGATGTGAGGCTTGATATCAAACCGATTTTATTTAATATCAAAATTGTTTTATCACATTGGACTGGGTATAATGGCACACAGTTTGGGTTATGACTTCACATTTTTTATGACGGCTCAATGATAGCTTTGTGGCAGCACAAATGAATATGACAGTTCTATTTTTAATTTATATCATAATGGTGACTAATCACAAACCAATTTATTATGACATCACAATGTTTTATGAAAATAAAATGTTTCTGAAAGAAAGTGTTACTGCTGGCACAGTGTGTGCTTCATAGTCTCACAAATAATTTTCATGAGACTCTCGAAGCATTATGGTATCAAATTTTGCTGTGACATAACAGCAGTATTTATTTATTTTTCTGTGATCAAATTTATTTTCTGTTTAAATTTCATTTGTTTGTTTTACTGTAATTTAAACCAGAGACTGCCAAGTAAACTAGGGATTTTACATTCACCACACATACCCTCAAATCTCAACAGTTGTTAGAAAACCATTAAAACTCAGGCGCTGGGCTGGTGCTTCCGTGTGTGCCCAGGTGCCCAACACGACAGATGCCAGTGAGAGTTAAGTTCACTACAAGGAGAGGGCTGGACTCCTTACTTCGCAAAATGAGCCATCATGTCCCTCGCCCCCAGAGTGATGGTAAGGGACCTAAGTTACAGCGGGAGCTTGTCCCCAAGGATATGCAGCTAAGGGAAGATGGACTGCCCAGCGAAGCACAACAGAGTCTCAGGATGTGGCAGTGACCCCGATGCCTGAGGGCACAGTGGGAGGGATCTGACTACAGGGCAGGACGTGTCCAAGGAACAGGGGAGGTTACAGGAGAAGGTCTCTGACCTGAAGGCTTCAACGCCATTATTCTACACAAGCTTTCAGGACAGACAGGATTAGACAAAACTGAGACTGAACGCAGACAGAGAAAGCTAATACAAATCTTACCTAGGTGTTCTACCTGCATTAAATTAAAAAAAAAAAAAAAAAATGGCGGTGAGCAGTGGCTTCCAGCGAGCATCCGGGGCAGCTGCGGTGGCAACCCAGGGGTGGAGGTGTGTCCAGGCAGGGTCCTTGTCTCCAAGCTGGACACCTGCCGGCTGCAGAGGGCTGCCACACACTCCATCCTGTGAGGACCCGGAGCATTTGCATAGTTTCCAAGCCACAACTCCATAACACATGTGTTTCAGGGACAAGACTCACCAAGTGCCCTACTTCTAATGTTTCTGCACCATGACAATGAATTCCCTCCTTGATTTGTTTGCCTAGCAGGAGCCTGCCAATTATCTAGTGTTACTATAAATCACAAACTATCATCCCCGGTTTTGCTAGGTCTGGTGTAGAAAAAAACACTTGAAATTTAAAATAAAAAACTCCAATAAAACCCGGAAATTCTTTTAAGACGATTTTCCTCTTCAGGAAAACAAGTAAAAACTGGCCTGTAACTTTACTCCTTACTTAATAGACATTCTTTTTTAGGATTTTTTTTTTTTATGGTCACCAGCTTATAGGCACACATCTGTGGACATTCAGGCTTATTGGCCAGCTCCTTCTTCCAGTTGGGTCCCAAAGGGCCTCTCTTGTAGTCTGCTGGTTCAACTTGACTTCGATCTGCAATATCTCTGTGGACAGTTTCAGCCGTCTTCCATGTGTTTGGTTCTAAACCATGTACATTTTCTAATGTTCCCAAGTCTGGGTTGTGCCATGTTTCAATTTTAATGAAGAAATCATCTTCCATATATTCATTTGTTACAATATTTCTGCAGTAGGCGTACCAGGCTTTTTTGTGAATCACCAAGGAAGCTTCGGGAGCAATCATCTTCATGAAGGCAGGAACTTTGCTCTTCAGGTGGCAAATTTTGTGGGTGTACTGCCCCGTTTCACCAACTTTCTCGTATGGCTCATTTTTTAGCACTTCAATTCCTTCTGCATCTCCAGTCTCATTCTTGCTAGCTTCTGCCACAGAGTAAAGCTGTCGAATGTGATAGGCTCCAGTTCGCCTGTTGTACAGTACTGGAAAGGGACTCCAACATCACATCAGAGTGTTTTTTCATATCAGGACTTCACCTCTAGATTTTAAACTAATTCCTTAATGAGCACCATCTTCCTGGAAACCCCACCCCCAACAGCTGCCACTGCCACCGCTGCTGCTACAGCACAGCAGTATTTATGATATCAGAGTAGTTGTTGATCACATGCTAATTGCTTATTACATCAAAATATTTTGTGACAAAAATCTGATAGCCTATTATGTAAAAATTTGATCACACCAATCGATGGTTTATTGGTAATATCACAATTGATTACTACCTCTTTTAAAAAATATTTATTTATTCTTCTATAGGCCAGAGTTAGACTGAGATGGGAAAGCAGAGATCTTTCATTTGTTGATTCACTTCCCAAATGGTGATATTGGCCAGAACTGAAGCAGACCAATGCCAGGAGCCAGGAGTTTCATCAGGTAATTGCTTTGTCTGCTACACCACAATACCAGCCCTGATAATTTGCTCTTAAAGGTAGGGTCATGACATCACAGTTGTTAGCTATAACATTAAAGTGGACTATGACAGAATATTCTCTGATTTATGACATCACAATATATTTTGATGACTCAATGTGGCATCATGATATTTGATTGTATAATTTTGTGATTGTGTCATCAGAATTCTGAGATTATAATGCCAGTATGCTGGTTTATTACAAATCAGTTGAGTGTATCACCATCTTTTCTTTTTTTTTTTTTTAATTTCCTTTTATGACACAGTTTCATAGACTCTGGGATTCCCTCAACCACTCCAAAAAGCCCTCCCACCATATTGAATTCCTTCATATTGTTACAGTAGTTCAGCTCATATCCAGTCATGATTCTTCATTGCAGGCATGGACAATAGAGAGTCCAGCATCTTATTGTCCACACAAATTTAGCAGTTTCATTGGGAGACCATCCCTGGTCTGAAAGCAGAGCTGGCAAAATATCATCCCCTCCAAATTCACTATACAACTTCAACAATAATTTACAACATCATGAAGTTAATTGACATGGAGTTAAGTAACCAATACGTTAGAAAATACAAGTTCTTCACCACATTCTGTGTCTACTTCATTGACTTTCCCATTTTAGTTTATACACATCTGTAATACACCTTAAAATGATTATAGGATACTATTCAGCTGTCATGTGTCCTTTTTCATTTTTATATTTAGCTGTTATATTATTCAAGCATGATTTCCCCCTGTATGTGTCTATAGTTTTTGCTAGTGTCTAATACAGATTCGAGTCCGTTGCCTTGTAGTTACCAGTTACAATCTTGATAGGTTATACTTAACATCTTCCTCACACACTCTGACAAGGTGGAAGATTTCTCTGCTCTCCCGACCCATTATGGAATAACAGGATATTAAAAGCATATCATGCTTTTCAGTTCTTTGATGTAGATCATAAGCAGTCTGTCTCTCACTGATTGTTGCTTCATATATATTAGTCCATGTGACACAGACTGAGGTTGCAATAATACAATTCACAGGTACTGTTTTTTAGATTGACATCATTTCATGTTAAACTGAGGCAAACATATGGTATCTAACTTTTGAAATTGGCGCATTTCCCTTAGCATAATGGTTTAAAATTGGGCCTATTTGACCACAAATAAATGCAGTTTTTTAAATAGCTGAGTATTATTCCATGGAGTAGATGAACCATAGCTTTCCTATCCAATCTTCTGTTGCTGGGCATTTTGGTTGCTTCCATGTTTTTGCAATTACTGATTGTGTTGCTATGGACATAGGGGTGCAGCGTGTTTCAAACATTTTCTTCCAATAAGTTTGAAGGTTTCTGGATTTAGGTTTAAGTCTTTTATTCATTTAGATTTGATCTTAGGGTATGGTGAAAGATGTGGGTCTAACTTCTTGTTTCTGTAGGCTATCAACCAGTTGTCCCAACAGCATTTATTGAAGAGACCTTCCCATTTCCCTGGACTGTCATTTTTTTCCCCAAAGATTATTTGTATCTATGTGGGTACCCTTCCGTTGTTTCTATTCTACTCCACTGAATATACTTTCTGTCTTTGTGTCTGTTAACTTCCTGTTCTTTATGATGGTTCTAGCTATTCATGGCTTTTTTGTGCTTCCAGATGAATCTTTGTATCATTTTTTCCAGTTTTATGAAGACTGTTTTGGGTAATTTGATTGAGATTGTGTTGAATGTATATGTTGCTTTTAGTAGCATGGACATTTTGTTGATACTGATTTTATATATCCAGGAACATGGTATGCTTCTCCATCTTTTGAGGTCTTCTTCAATTTCTTTTTTATGTTTTTTTTTTTTTTGTAGTTTTCTTCAAAGAGGTCTTCTACACTTTCAGTTAAATTTATTCCTAGACACTTCATTTTCTTCTCTGTTATGTTGAACGGTATCATGCTGGTTAGATCTTTTTCCATCTTGGGGCTGTTTGCACACACTATGGCTGTTGGTTTTTGTGCATTTGTTTTGTACCCTGCCACTGTACCAAATTCTCGTATGAGTTCTAGCAGCCTCTTGATTCTTCTATGTATAGAATCAGGTCATCTGTGAATAGTCAAAGCTTGACTTCTTCGTTTCCCATTAGGATTCCTTTGATTTTTTTTTTTTCCTCGTCTTATGGCCTTTCTGAGCACTTCTAGTACTATGTTGAATAGCAGTGGAGATAGTGGACACCCTTGTCTTGTTCCAGATCTCAGTGGAAAGGGTTCCAATTTTTCTCCATTCAGTATGATGCTGGTGTTGAGTTTTCATATGTTGCTTTGATTAGGTTTTGGATTGTTCCTTCTATGCCTACCTTGGTTTGAGTTTTTAACATGAGATGGGTTTGAATTCTGTCAAAAGCTTTTTCTGCATCTATTGACACTTTTAAAAGATTTTTGTTCTTCAATTTTGGGATGGGGTGTATTAGATTTATGGATTTATTAATGTTGAACCATCCCTGCATTCCTGGGATGAATCCTACTTGATCCAGATGAATGATCTGTTTCATGTTTTTTTGGATTCTATTGGCTAGGATTTTGTTGAGAATATGCATCAATGTTCATCAGGGAAATTGGTCTGTAGTTTTCCTTCTCTGTTAGTTCTCTATCCGGTTTTTGAATTAAGGTGATGTTGGCTTCATAGAATGAGTTTGGAAGGATTGCTTACTTTTCTTGTTTCAAAGTGTTTGTAGAGGATTGGGGTTAACTCTGCTAGGAATGTTTTATAGAATTCTACAGTGAAACCATCTGGGGCTGGGCTTTTCTTTATTGGAAGGTGTTTAATCATTGAATCAATCTGTCACCCCGGTATAGGCTTGTTCAGGTCTCCTGTTGCCTCTGGGGTAAGATTTGGTACGTGGAGGGAGTCCAAAATCTTTCCATTTTCTGGTGGTCTTCTGATTTGTTGGAGTACAGTTTTTTGTAGTAATTTCTAATTATTTTCTTAATGCTTGCAGTGTCTGTTTTTAGGCTGCCTTTGCATCTTTGATGCTATTAATTCTCATTTTTTTTTCCTTGTCAGTCGAGAGAGTGGGTGTCTATTTTGTTTCTATTCTCAAAAAAACAACATTTTGATATGTTTTGTGTATTTTTTGTTTGTTTTGATTCCTATGTGGTTTATCTTTTCCCTTGTTTTGATAATTTCTTGGTGCCTGTTGCATTTTGTGCCATTTTGCTGCCGTTTTTCCATTTTCTCTAAGTGTGTGTTTTTAATTCCTGTACTTTGTATTTTTCTTGGGACTTGACATAAAACTAATTGCTATGAACTTACTGTGTAGTACTGCTTTGGCAGTGTCCCATAAGTTTTGGAATGTTGTGTTTGAGTTTTCATAAAATTTTTATCTTATTCTTAGTTTCTTCTCTGACTTATTGTTTATTAAACAACATATTGTTCAACCTGCAAGTGTTTGCATACTTCCTGGGACATTTTGATTTATTGATTTCTGGTTTCACTCCTTGGTGGTCTAAGAAAGTGCATGATATAATTCCAATTATTTTGAAGTTAGTGAGACTTGTTTTGTGTCCTATTATGTGGTCGATTCTGGAGAAGGTGCCATGCACTCCTGAAAAAAATGTGTATTCTGTGTTCATAAGATGGAAGGTTCTGCAAATGTCTGCTAAGTCCATTTGTTCTATCGTCTGTGTGAGTTCTGTAGGTTCTCTGTGGTGTTTCTGTCTTGTTTATCTGTCTTTTGGTGTTAATGGTGTGTTGAGGTATCCTAGAATGATTGTATTTGTCTCCCCTTAAGTCTGTCAGTAATTGCTTCATGTAGCTGGATGCACTTGTGTTTGGTGTGTAGATGTTTTTAAAGGTAATCACTTCCTGATGATGGCTCCCTTCAATAATATAAAAAGTCCTTCTCTGTCACCTTTGATATTTGTCAAGTTGAAGTGTATGTTATTTGAAATTAGAACAGGTACACCAACATATTTTTCCCGTACATTAGCGTGAAATATCTCTTTCCATCCCTTCACTTTCAGTGTGTTAGCATCTGTTTTGGTTAGACTTGTCTCTTGCAGCAACAGATGATTTTGTCCTGCTTGTTAATCCATTCTGTTAATCTATGTCTTTGGATTGATGATTTTAGGCCATATGTGTTTAGAGTTAATTTTGAGAGGTTGTGATTATGACTTACTGTGTGTGTGTGTGTTTGCAAGTGTTGTTATCTCTGTCTTTTCTTGTGTGGCCTTTAGTGGGGATGTCTTCCAATTCGCCATCTTTGATTATGGATTTTACTCTCTCTTTCTTTCGTTCTTTCGTTCTTTCGTTCTTTCTTTCTCTCTTTCTTTCTTTCCTTCTCTCCTTCCTTCCCTCCTTTCTTTTTTTCCCTTTTTTTTCTTTCTGGGTTTATCACATTTCTAAGGAGTTTTTTATTTTTTAGAACTGATTTCATGCTGGCATAATCTTTTAGTTTCTCTCTATTATGGAAATATTTAATTGCATTCTTAAATACAAACAAGTTCTTTGCTGGGTACATTATTCTTGCTTGGAAGGTCTTTTCAGGATTTGAATGATTTTACTCCATTCTCTCCTTGCTCGGAGGGCTTCTTCTGAGAAGCCAGCATTAATTGTGACTGGTTTTCCTCTAAATGTAATCTTGTCTTTTCTTTGTACTTGTTTCATAATTCTTTCATTGTATTCGTTGGAGGGGAACTTCAGCACAGCATATCTGAGTAAGGATCTCTTTTTGTCAAATTTGTTGGTGGTTCTCTGTCCTTTCTGAATTCGGGCTGGATTCATGTTCACAGTATTTTGGAAGTTCCTCTCTATAATTTCATTGAGCAGCTATTACACACCTGTCTCTCCACTCCTTCAAGAAGGCTTATAAATCTGATATTTGACTTTTTCATGTTGTCTTCCATTTCCTTTATGGTCTTGTTGGGTTTGTTCAAGTTTTTCTCCAGGTGTTTGATGTTCTGTGTGTTTTCATTCTGGCTGTCTTCCATTTCAGAGATTCTGTCTTCTGCTGTATTCATTCTATTAGTTAAGGTTTCAACTTTGTGCTGAAAATTAAGGATCTCATTTTGGGATAGTTTTGTTTTTGTGATGATGTGATTTTTGGATTCCTTGAGCTCCTCCCATCGTTCTTCATTGTCTCTGAAGAGTTTTATTATCATTTTTCTGACTTCCCTATCTGATTATTTGTCAGTTTCTTCATCTGTCATCAGTGCAATTGACCAGGCCACTTGGTGATTTTTCACGGTGGCGCTGGCTTCTTGCTCTTACTCATTTCTTTCCCTGTGACCTTGCCCCATGCCTTTGTGTTGTGTTGTTGCCTTGTGGTATTTGTCTCTGCTGTGTTGCTGGGGTACTTGAGAAAGGAAAAAAGAAAAAAAAATTCAAGGTCAGCAATAACTCGGTGCAACCACAGGGTGGCAGCAGAGGTCTAGGATCAGTCAGAAGTAAACTCTTCCAGAGTGCCACCATGTGGATAATTCGACTTATGGCAGAACTTGAATCTTTTTTTTTTTTTTTTTTTTCCCCTGGTGCCTGCTCTTTTGCTGGCAGAGCTTGGTTCCCGTCGTCCTTCTTCACTCCCGCAACTCTGTGAACCTGTGGGCATCTCAGTCGTGGGTGATATTAGAAGTAGGTGTTAGGTCTTCCTTTTGTGAAGTTCTCTTGGACTCCGGATTGGTGCAGGCCAGTATGGCAGGATTCTAATTCCCATGTTCACCTGGTTGCTTTGATTCTTTCTGCACGATGGCTTTCTCTCCTCCAGCCAGACTGCCTAACTCCACATCTGCCGCATAGCCCTCATTTCAGACACCCTTTGCCTTGTTTTTTTCCCAAGGTTCATCCCCCCATCTTTGCCTGCTCAGGGCGGTCACTTCCCTGTCTTAGTGACTCACTGAAATTCATTCCCTGAATTTCGCTCACCTAATTTTGTTTGAGTCTCCGTAGCCCAAGGAGCCGTCCTTCACTCTCAGGTTGCAGCTCACACTCGTTCACGTCTGTTTCTCTGCTGGGTGCCGTCTTTCTCAGTCCTGGTGACCCTCGAGCATTTCCCCCGTGTTCCTCGGGATTCTCTTCCTCTTGCCCTCACTTCTGTCAACTCCCGTCCTCCACTTCCCTAACTCTTGGTCACATCAGTCTGCCACCGTCGGCCATCTTAACGTCTCAGCACATTTTCCTAACTACAATTGTGGTTTATGAACTCAAAAGTAATAATCTCATAATTCACAATGGATTGTATGATTCCATATTTGAGTATGACATCTCAATGGTAGTGTTATAGCAGACTAATTGATGATGACATCGAAATATTCTTATGAAATTGATGGTGTATGTATTCAAAGCTGAACATGACAGCATAGTGGTTGGTTTCTGACATTCCATTGATAATGATTATACAAGGGAAGGTCAATGAAATCAGAAAAGGGTTTCTGTGATCATTGCAGAATGTTTATTACATAATAGTGGCTAATAATATAACATGACTATAACAGCACTATGGTTTTATGAAAATAAAATGAATTGTGGATCAGGAAAACTATTTTGTTGAAATTTAGGCTGATTTGTGACTTAACCAGGACAAATTTATAGCAGATTATGCTTTTTCTCATACTACAAGCTATTATGACATGACAATGATAATTCGTGAAATGGCAGTTCACAAAAAAAATTTTGATTATAATATCAATTGCTGTTTCATATTACCTTGATTAGATCGACATTGGATCAAATTTATTATATCAGAATGTTAGTTTGTCTCAAAACATTGTCTACATTGCTATGATGGTACACAAACATCTCTTTCATTTTTCTTTTAACTTCATTAGATAGAGACACAGACATGATGCTATATTGTACCTGCAGGCATTTTCAGCAAGATAGGCACCAAATTTATGAGGGCAGAGCTAAGACTGGGAAAGATTATCCAGCTTCACTAACATTTAAAGTAGGGAATTTTAGGTTATATTGGCATACAAAGTGAGCTAATGAGGAACACATGAATAGGAGAATGACGGTTACAGTTGTAAGTCATGACACAAGTAGGAGAACACCAGCCATTCTATAATAGAAGTCATGAGGATGGAGTTGTGGTGTACTGAGTTAAGCTGTCACTTGCATTGTTGGCTTCCACAGGGACACTGGCTTGGATCATTCCTGATGGAGAACTTTGCTAATGCAGCCGAGAAAGCAGCAGAACACAATGCAAGTGCTTGGGTCTCTGCACCAACGCTGGAGACTGAGATGATGTTCCTGGACCTGGCTTCATCTTGGGCCTTTCCAATCCATTATGGACCTTTGGGGAGTATGTCAGAGGATGGAACATACTCTAAGTATGCCTTTCAAATAAATAAAACTAATATTTTAAAAAGGGATAGAAGGGCTGGCATGGAAGTCTAGTGGCTAAATCCTTGCCTTGCACAGGCTGGGAGCCCATAAGTATTCTGATTCAGGACCCAGCTGATCCACTTTTCTTCCAGATTGCTACCTGGGAAAGCAGCAGAAAATGGCCCAAAGCCTTGGGAAACCTCACACATCTGGGAGACCTGTAAGAAGCTTCTAGATCTTAACTTTGGATCAGCTCAATGCCAGCTGTTTCAGCCACTAAGAGATTGAACCATTAGAATGGAAGATCTTTGTGTCTTCAGCTATCCATAAAATCTGATTTGTTCAATAAAAATAAATAAAACTGTTTTTCACAAAAAAAGTGGGGGTGGGAGAGAGGCAATAGAAGCCATTGGTACCACAGCAATCCTCTCATTGGTATCAAAAGCATATATAAGAGTGATATGTATCTGTGATAAAAGAAGGTGCCAGAATCAATCAACTGGTTTGGTGGTATCCTGGACTTCAGAGTTGTGTCAAAAGTGAGTTGTCATTTTTCAGGACCTGAAACTCTGGTTCAAGGTTTTGTTATTGAATGATGGATCATAGGTTATGACTTATAATCTTATAAGACATATTAAGACATAATCATATTTATATGTGTGATAAAATTGATGATATTAATGAGACTTTAATGGTAGGCTTATGACATCAGAATCATAGCACATATGAATTAAACATGATATACAATGTTTCGTTACAATACACTGGTTTCTTGCATCAAAATTTATTGTGATGGCACAATGGTTGGTTTATGATATCACAATTTTTTAGGGTAACAAGGGCTGGTTTATGACATCAGAATTGATTCTGTTGACACAAGAAATAGCGCATTTGTCATCACAATTAATCATGATACCATTAAGATAAGTTCATAATATAAGCATGTATTCTGATGGCAGGATGATTGATCTATAACTTCAAAACTATGACAGCTCAACTTTACATTCTAATAATTGTTATTTATCCTGACTCAATGGACTATGATCTTACAAAACTTATATCAAAAATTTTATAACAGTCATTGCTTTATTACATCACATGCTGTTATTAAATTACCCTAGAAAGTTTATGTCAGAACTGTTGTTTAACCCAAATAAGTTGAGTATGACATCTAAAAGATTATGAGATTCAGTGTTGATTTATGAAATCGCAAACTGATTTTGAAGGCACAGTTGTATATTTATGTTACCACACTGACTATGGTGGCAAAAACAAGTTTCTGATATCTGAAATGTGGCTTATCATGTACCATTGTTTTACGGCATAATGAGCTTTTTGGGGGTTAGAATAATGGTCTGTAAACTCAACATTCATTATGACAGTAAAATGGTCGTTTTGACATTAAATTAACTTTGATAGAATAATGACAAATTTATGAAACTAAAATGATGGTAAATGATACATCAATTGCTTATCGCATGAAAATTCTTCATATGTCTATTATTCAATTATAATTTGGGTTATGACATCAAAATTAATTATGATGGCAAAATGGTGAGATTCTGAGTTGAAAACCAATCATGAAATTACAATATCAGTTTTATAACAAAACAGTTATTGATGATATCACAATGCTTGATTTGTGATATCAGACTTGTGGTTTATCACATGCTAATGAGTAATGGTGTCATATTTTTGACATTAAAAAATTTAGTCATGACATTAAAACTGATTTACAATCATAATGATTAGATATAATTAGTATTGTTTTATGATACAGTTCCATAGGCTCTTGAATTTCCTCTCCTCCCCAAGATTCCTATTTCTCATTGATATCCCCTGTATTATTATTATGTAGTGTTCTTCATGAGCAGTCATAAGTCCAACATTTTTCTCTTTAAGTGTATCCTGACATTTTCGGTATGGACAATGTCAGACAGAAAAGCCTCCTGTTTTTAAGAAACATATAATAGTTTCATGGGGAGTCCACCATTGATTTGGAAATAGAGATGTATACTACATTGCATCTCCACATGTGGATATGATAGTATCTATTACACACTTACTATACATTCTCTTAAATAAAGAGTCAAAGAACAAAATCAACAGCTCTTAAAAAAATAGGGTATTTATGGCAACATTAAGTTAAACATGATACAGAATGATATATGTCTCTGAAGAAATAAAAAAGAAAGTAAAAACCTACTTGTAAAACGATGTAAAAAAATGATGCTACTTTATGAACTATGTGCCACTAAAGAAATTAATAGGATAAAAAAATTTTTTTTTAATTTATTTTTATTATTTTTTTATTGGAAAGGCAGATATACAGAAGAGAGACAGAGAGGAAGATCTTCTGTCTGATGATTCACTCCCCAAGTGAGCGCAGCAGCCTATACTATGCCGATCCGAAGCCAGGAGACTCTTCCAGGTCTCTCACACCGGTGCAGGGTCCCAAAGCT